CCGGTCTGTATGTGGGATCCGAACCCTCGGCGGGAGCGCCTCCGCGCTTCCCAAGCGGCGCACTAGCGCAGTGCGCCACCGGGCCGGCCCTACTTTAGCTGTATTGATGAAAGTATTGATTTTTCCATACCTGTGACTCAGCAAGACCTCAAGGAAGCTTGTGCCTGGAAGGCGAAAATTTCTCTGAGTCTAGGACGAGGAGGGTTAAGACAGCCCTCACACTCCCCCCACAAATTCCTTCTTCTTTACTGACAGAGGCTGAAATATGAAATTGCAGAAGTGATGACGGAGATCGACAATCTAACTTCTGTAGAGGAGAGGTAAACAATTTATAGCTACACCTTCGAGTTATTTAATCTCTTTCTCCCCACCTCCAGCCTCCAGCTGAACTTATAAAAAAGTGTGGTGAGTACAGCAGGGGTGAGGAGGGTTGGGACTGGGAATGGGGAGCTCTTGGAGTTGTTCATTTCTGCGCTCCCCCCGCCACCCCGCTCTTCATGGGGGAGTCAGAGGATGTTTCTTTGGACGTTATTTCTCATCCCCTACTTTTTCTGAGTCGTCGTCTACCTTTATATGTTCAGGAATAAGCATAGGCACTTCACAATTAACCCATGCAGAAGTAACCTTTCCGTATCATAAGGCACTGTGCTTTTTAAAAATCGCTGTTTGTCATCATTAGCTTTTTCTGAAAAAGTGTATCTCAAGTTATGAAATGTAGAAAAGAGTGAAAGCAGCCACCCAACCCCTACTTCCCCCATGAAGGGTGGAGGCTCCTCCAGAGGGCCTGTGCCTCTTCCTGCGTTGAGCTGCTGTGAGCGGGAATCATGCTGAGGGGCTGGGACCCAGCTGTTCTGCGTGAGACTGGGAAATCACTAATAATTTTTTAATTATTTCAAATGAATAGCAAAACTACTCAGAGGAACAAGCAAATTGCTATGGGAAGAAAGAAATTCAACATGGATCCCAAAAAGGTAAGAGAATGCTTTGAGTTTTCTGGCATGCAAGAGATGGGTTGGTTGGTCGATTTTAGTGGCTGTCTTCCTTTTGGACAGTTGTGGTTGTCTCACCTCATAAAGAGACTGGGAATTGATGTTAAATTTTTATCGAAAAAGGGCTGCTGATATGTGGGGTGAAGCAGAAGCGTCCTGGTGAGCTGACTGCCTGGACTGAGGGGCCTTTCCTTCAGTGTGCGCTCCTGAGTGAGGCAATGGCCCTGCAAGAGCCGGCAGCGGAGCCAGCACAGCCCTCGCCATGGAGGCTTATTTCCCTTTGTTTTCTCGCTCAAGCTGGGCCTGACAGCAGGGGAACCGTGTGATTAGCAAAGGGCAGATGTAGGACTGGAATCCAGCTCTACAAAGTTTATAGGCTTTAGCATCTGGGCAGGTTAAGTGGTCCAAGTCATAAGACTTTATTCCTTCCATTTACCTTAAAAAGAAGGTGTCTATGAAAGCACAGGGTACCCCTCCAGACTGAAGCCAACATCTTGGTCTTTTCTTAAGTTGGGTTTTCTAGGAAAATGGCCGAAAACAGTGAAACCTAAAACATGTAGCTGCATGTTTTTGTGTTGGACCTAAAGGATTTGGCAGAGTCTGTAAAGCTTTTTGGTACACGTGACTCAGTTGTAACATCATTTTGATTTTGAAAAAAGAAGGGTAGCCCTGAGCAAGCCACAAAGGCTCATGGTCAAGAAAGGAAGGACATATTGGTGGGTAGGTCTTCTGATTGCAGAGCTGGTTGGCTTCATTGCTCATGGTCTTTAATTGGTATTCATTTCTAACATTATTCTTACTTTTCTGACATTGAGCCTCTATACTTTTTTTTTTTTTTTTGCAACTGGCTGGTACAGGGATCCAAACCCATGACCTTGGTGAGCCTCTATACTAATTAGTTAATTATTTATTCATTCAATAAATGTTCATTGATTGCAGGAATCATACCATGCAGCATCTAAGGTCTATAAACTTACATTTATAAGTGCAGTTGCAAATGATATTTTAAAAAATACATCTCATTAATTCCTGTTCCTGATTTGCAGATTTGGATTTTCTTAAGGTACAGCACATCTGCAGCTAGAGAGGGTTTTTGTTTAACTGGTGTACTCTATTCACTGTGAAAATTTCCCCATTGCTTCCTAATTCTCTGCTTATGGGGTATAAATCAACTCCAGAATGGAGCGAAATTGTCAATGGAAATGATTTTATGAATTTGCTAATGATCTGATATTTTGGTTTAGTAATAAGTTTTTTTTCCTTTAGGAGTTGAGTTCACAGAGTTGAATTATCAGCAGATTTAATAAGCATTGGAAGCATCTCTGGATGCTTTACAAAAGTAGATGTTTTTAAAAACTGGACTTCATGTTTTAAAGGGACCCAAGTGCAGCACAGGGTAGCACACCAATAAGTTCATGGATAGATTCAGATCTTATGAAACACAGACAAATAAGCACTTATTTTTTCAAGTGATGCTTCCACTGTACATCAGGTTTCAGTCTCCTGAATGTGAGCTCGCCCTCGTGCTTGTGAAGGCCTCCCTGTCGGGTTCTTGCCTGTCTTGTTTTACATGTACTATGTGCCAGATTTACAGTAGTAAGGGCCAACATTGAGAACTTACTGTGTGCCAGGAATCATGCAAAGGGAGGACTTTAATTGATATACTTTAGTCCTTACAACACCCTTATGGGATAGGGAGGTTCCATTTTAACTCCTGTTTCACAGTTGGGGAAATCAAGGCCCAGAACAGCTAAGGAACTCACTACTGTTCTGAGCAAGGACCCCAACTCCAAGACCCGCTGCTCTCCACTGAGCTGGGAAGAGCCCCTGGGGTTGTTTGCAGGTAGCTCCAAGTCTAGTCTGGACATCCCAGACCACTGGTCGTCCTGTGGCATCTGCTCACCACATCCAAGGAAGTAGACGTTTAACCTGCTTTCCCTGGACTGTGGCAGATTGTCCAGCAGACTTCATTGTGCATTCCTCTTCACCTGAAAGATTTTTTAAATATTAATTACTGGTTCTTTTCAACAACTTATTTGTAATTATCTTGCTCAATAAAAGCAGATGGGACATTTAGTCTGCATGTGGCCTTTTGCTCGGAAAATTATCAAAATTCTTTGGTTTTAGACTTAGAGCACTTGTTGTAGCACTTGTCTTAGTCTGCTGTGGCTGCCATAACAAAACAGCACAGACTGGATGCTTAAACAATGGAAATTTATTTTCTCATAGTTCTGGAGGCTGGAAGTCCAAGATCAGGGTGCCAGCATAGTCGGGTTCTGGTGAGGGCCCTCTTCCTGACTTGCAGACAGCTGCCTTCCCGCTGTATCTTCACATGGCAGTGGGCAGGGGGTAGTGAGGTATGTGAGCTCTCTCTAGGGTGTCTCTTCTTATAAGGGTACAAATCCCATCAGACCAGGGCCCTGTCCAGATTGACATCATCTAATCCTACTTATCTCCTAAAGGCTCCACCTCCAAATACCATAATGTTGGGGCACAAACATTCAGTCCATACCTGCATCAGTGATCTCACCTGCTTCAGACACAATTCAAAATGATATTTACCCCCCACCCCCCACCCCCTGTATCCCTGTGAAACCATGTAACATTGTGAAACATGGAGACATTGTCAGAGTAAATAAGTTCTTTCAGGCTAGGTGGAAATTTTTTAAGTCTCAAAGTGATGACATTTTAAGCAAGGAGCTTTGGTTTGTTTGGGTACATTAGATTCTAGAAGTAGCACTTGGGTTTATAAATAAATGAGAGCAAAGGTTTGATAAGATTGAGAAAGCTGAGAACACTCTACAGCCTCTCCCTTTTATTCCCATTTTCCTAGAAATGCCTTTAAAAATAAAACACACAAATCTATAACAAGCAGGAGTTCACTCTGTGGATGAGAAATTGAGGAATCCCTGAAAGAAAAAAAGATAAATGCAATCAATTGAAGAAAGAAACGATGCTCTAAACACATACAAGAAAGAATGCTACAGGACATGAGAGTGGCTCTGGGGTTCAGGAAGCTCAGAAGAGGCAGATGTGGGGAACAGGACCACCGTAGACTGTTTACTCTCTGCTGAATTTGTGCCGTGCAGTGGTGTGTGCCCCAGGGGAGAGCAGCAGGAGGGAACACTTAGTCCGTGAAAACTGGCAATGTCCTCAGTGGCTGGCAGCACTAAGAAGGAGAAATTCCCACTCCCAGAGAGACCAGCTCTCGGCTCACCCCACCTGGCTGCCTAACCTGCCATCCAGCCAAATCGCTGGAAGCGGCTTCAGTAGAAACCAGAAAAAGACAGCATTCAGTTAGACTGTGACACCCACCAAGTACCACCTGAAGTTTGAGGAAACCAACACCATGAAAAAGATACAAAACAAGACATTCAAAAGAACTGACACTGTAGAAAACAGACAATAGAAACGGTAAAAGGAAACTTTTAAATATAGGATATTTGTATATATTATGAATATCCTCAGAGAGGTATGATAGGATGTTTCTTATCCATGATACAAAAGTAGGGGGGTGTGGAAAAGAACTTTGGAAATGAAAAATAGGAGTGTGTCACATAACTTGAGCACTGGCTGTAAGACAGAGAAGACACAGCTGGATGGTGGATGTGTCAGCTGGAAGATAGTTGGAAAATTCTCTCCACAGTTTTGCACAGAACTACAAGACATGAAAGATGGGTCCAGCAGCCCAAATTTCATCTCATAGAAGTCCCAGAAGAGAGTAAAAACAGAGGGGAAGAAATATTTCAAGGAAATCTTGAAATATTTTAGAACTAGACTATGATAAAATCTTCAGATTCAAAGGCCCCACCAAATGTCAAGCAGGATACATTTTAAAAGACCTATATCATAGATGCATTGAGTAATATATCATAAAGCTGTACATAAAGAGAAATTCATTAAATTTTCTAGGAAGAGGGCCGGCCTGGTGGCGCACTCGGTAGAGGGTGGCGCTTGGGAGCGTGGCGGCGCTCCCGCCAAGGGTTCAGATCCCATATAGAGACCGGTCAGCTCACTGGTTGAGCGCGGTGCGGGCGTGACACTGAGGGTTGCAATCCCATTACCGGTCACAAAAAAAGACAAAAAGGAAAAAAAAAATTTTCTAGGAAGGAAATAGTAGATTCCCTAAAAAGTGAGAATCAAAATGAACTTACTATCAGGGACATTGGATCAAAGACAGTAGAGAAACAGAGTATTCTAAGGTCTAAGGAAAATAATTTAAACCCAGAACTCTGTTCATCCAGACTGTCACTCAGAGAGAAAGTGAGTAGACATTTTCAGATGTTCCAGGACTCAAAAAGTTAACCACCAAGACCTTCTCTGTCTCTAGCATTTGGGGTAGTACATCTCAAAACAAGAAATTAATCTGCAGGATAAAAAAGGAAAGAAAAGCAAAAAAACAACAAAAACTTGTAGTTAGATTGTTTTTAAAATTTTTTTTTTAAGTCCCAGATTATCTCAGTACATAAGTAGCAAGGGGGAAAAGGAGGAGGGAAGTAAAAGTCGGCTGAGGTTTTCTAGATGTTGATATGTAAGTTTAAATATTTGTTAAAATTTTAAGACTAACCACTAAAGATACAATAAAATAGGATTTCTAAATTATTAGGAAAAATTGCATAAAGAAAGCTTGATGAGTTCAGCAGAAGGCTAAAATGGCATGTGAAACAGAAAGCACACCCGCCAGCACCGCCCTCCCTCCAAAAAAGGGACACTTCGATATTTGGTTAAAAGAAACGATAAATTCCAGTTGTCTTCTGATTGAGACATGCACCTACAACAAATAACAGGAAAGCTGGAAATAAAGAATTGGAAAAAGATACATTAGATGTAGTGGGTCAAGTGGCGCCCCTCCCCCCTTTTCTACTATTTGATTTTCTAAATATTTTTAACTGATAAAATTTCTAATTTTAAATTTTTTTACTTTTTAATTTTTTAAAGATGACCGGTAAGGGGATCTTAACCCTTGACTTGGTGTTGTCAGCACCATGCTCAGCCAGTGAGCAAACCGGCCATCCCTATATGGGATCCGAACCCGTGGTCTTGGTGTTATCAGCACCGCACTCTCCCGAGTGAGCCACGGGCCGGCCCTAAATTTTAATTTTTAAAGGAACATTTGTTTCCTTTTATGAATATCTACCTAGTGTATTAGTGTCTGAACAAATTACCACAAACTGGGTGGCTCAAAACAACAGAAGTTTATTCTCTGACAGTTCAGGAGGCCAGAAGTCCAAGATGAAGGTATCAGGATTGTTCTTTAAGCTCTGAGGGAGAATCCCTTCCACACTTCTCTTCTGGCTTCTGGTGGTAGCCCTCAATCCTGGGTGCTCCTTGGTTGTAGACATGTCCCTCTGGTCTCCGCCTCCATCATCACATGGCCTTCTCTGGGTGCCTTCTCCTCTCTGCCTCTTATAAGGACACATGTCATTGGACTCAGCAGGCCTGCTGCTGTGTCCTCCTCCTCTGCTTGTCTCTTTCTCTCCCAGATACAGTCCCTTTCTTATTCAAAGGGTCTCCTTGCCTCTGGCTTTTGACTCCATTTCTCTTATGGTCTCTGGCCTGAACTTACCCAGTGGCTCCAAGTTTTCCATGACCAGGGTCTCAATCTCTTGCAAAAGAAGCTGGAGCTTCACTGGAGACCTCCTCTGTTTTCATTATGTGACCTGTAAGTACAGAAGAAATTACCTTGTTCTGAGCCCATTTGCTTTTCTCAGATCCTTGTAGGTTGTTTCATAGCACTTACAAGAAGAATCCTATTTTGGGGGGAGTGCTAAATTTTAGGGCTGGTCACAAGCATCCAGAAGAACTCACGAAAGCCTCATCTCCAAACCCATTCAGTTCTGGGGGCTTTGGCTGATAGTGGCAGGGACCTTAGCTTTGTAGGGTCCAGTCCCCAGCCTTGAGACTGTGGAGATTGTGGGACAACTAGGAGGGGCAGAAAGAGAGCAGGGCTGGAAGGATGCAAGGACCTCTCAAGGCCACGGCCCTTCCTATGGCACACTGGAAAGCAATGTCTGTCCAAGGCAAGCTATCGGCTTCCCAGCCTTCAGCAAGAGGGAGGAAGTGGGAGCAAACTCAGCCTGCGGGACACACACAGCCACAGCCAAGGCCAGGCCAGGGACCAGGCACCACCCAAACCTCTGCTTATGCTGGTCCCTGTGTCCCAGGATCCTGGGGTCCTTTGGATGCCCTCTCTCTTGCCCCTGGCAATTTTGGGGGCAACAGAATTTACTATCTTCACTCACTGCCAGTCTTATGAGTCCTCATGACAAGAACCCAAGCTAGGGATCCGCATCTCGGGGGCAGCTTTGGCCTCTGACCTCTGCTGGTCATTTTAGGTCTGATTGTAAACTTCTGCCTAACTTCCCCTGCCTCTGCCCTCCCTGGCAGACCCCCACAGGCATCCCACCTCTCCCCACCCACCTCCAGCTGAGGGCTTCACCACCCTTCTCCACTTGCCCCACTTCGAGTTTCTTACGCTGGATGTGGGGCCTGCACTTCCCATAAAGCAAGTAGCCAAAGCACAGCTCTGCCGCGCCGGTCCCAGACTTTGTTTTCAGGGAGCTTACGCTAGGACAGGTGTGTGCTTAGGGTCAGAACTGCGTTGCTATGGTGTGTGTGTCTTGCAATTCAGGTGGTAGCCAGGTGGGTGTACCCACTTAAACTCCCACCAGAAATGTGAGAATTAATTTAGGATTTTTAGGCTTATTAATTTTTTTGAGAATAAAATACAACATGGTGCACAAATTTTAAATGTACATCTTGAATCTTTACAAGGTAATATATATACTCACATAGCCACAGCCTGGAACAAGATGTAGTTGTAGAATATTATAGGACACCTTTCTGGTACCTCCTCCCCAACGTAACTAGCATTCACTCCCCAAGGTAACTAGTGTTCTATCACCAAAAATTAATTTTCCTTTTTTAAAAAATTATATAAACAGAATTAAAATATACTCTGTGTCATCTTTTAGTCCATATCATGTCTGTAAGATTCATTCATGTTACAAGTGTGCATTTCATTTCATTGCTGTATAGTCTTCCATTGTATGAATATACCAGCATGTATCTATCTGTTCCTTATTGACTGACTGATGGGTTGTTTCCAGTTTTTAGAAATTCTAATTAAGGCTGCCGTGGATATTCATGTATTTAAAAATAAATAATAGAAAATCTCCAGGTGTGCCTTGGGGGTATGAGGAAGCCCTTGTCTTGGACACTGAGAGCTTTAGCTGGAAGAGTCTCTCTGAAGTTGTAGAAATAGCCTCCTGGCAAATAGGTTCCCAGATTTCCTATACCCTTACTGGCCTTGCCAACGTGTGTTTTGAAGCCACCTCCGAAGCTATGTTAGAGATAAATTTTTGTTATTTCATAGGTCCCTGGATTTCTCATGAGACGGATTGCAGCTGATTCAAGCCAGAGACAGCCCCTTGCCTTTCGAGATTGTCAGTTGTGCTTGAAACTCTTAAAGTAGGCATGAGTTTCTATTGGCATAAACCTGGTGGCACCTAATGTCAGTTAACATGTTTTTGGCCTAAGATAACAGAAAATCCAGTAAAAATAGCATAGACAATGGAGGTTTATCTTCTCACACAGCTGCTGTAGCAGTAGGTGACACTTAAGTGGCAGGAGTGTGGTCCCTGTGCTCATCTCGGCCTTTACCTTGTAAGGAGGCCTCTGTGGCTTGGATCGTCCCGAGGAAGAACAGTGCCAGCTCATGGGCCCCCTTTTACAAGGAAATCAAAAGCCTTCCGGGTGCTCCCCGCAGGCTTCCATTCGTGTCTCTTTGACCAGATCTGTGTCATAAGGTCATTTCTAGTTCCAGGGTAGGCTGGGAAAGTGATTTTCTAGTGAAGAATGGCAGGGAAAAGTGGGGACTGGGAGGGTTTTGGGTTGGCCAACCAGCAGCATCTATCACATACAATGCGTTCCTCCCAGACGCAAAGCAGATCATTTTCGTAAGCTTGGGAAATCGGTTATTATTGTTACTTCTACCTTTATAATCTCTAATAACCACTTATAATGGTTTGTTCAGTAACCCATTTATTTGTCTTTTAACCTGTTAAATTACCAGGAGGAATGAATGTGCTTTTCTTTGATGGATAAAATGTATTGTGGTGATGTGGAAATCAGATCATGCAGTTGTATGCTTCTCTCTGGTATTGTTTTTGCTGTGTCCAAACCAGTAAGATCATTATACTAAGTGTATTTCTGTCTTTGAAAAATGAGTCTGACTGACCCTCCTAATCAGCACTTCCTTTCTTATGTTCTTCTTCAGGGAATTCAGTTTCTAATAGAAAATGACCTGCTACAAAGTTCCCCAGAAGATGTCGCCCAGTTCCTTTATAAAGGAGAAGGCCTAAATAAGACCGTCATTGGGGACTATCTGGGTGAAAGGTAAGTCGAAGGAGATTGAGCAGCCCCACCTAGGCCCACCCAGCCCTGTGGCCTGACCTGGGCACACCCTCCGCTTTAGGGACTATCACAGCTAATTAGTCATGGGCTATAGGCATACACATGCTGCTCCTCAGTACCTTGTGAGCCCAGTTTGATCACTTCCTCTCTGGTGTCCATGTGAGAGGAGGGGTGTTAGGGAATTCTGGAGCCAGGTGAGATCTGTGCTTCTCTGGAATCCGTCATTCAGGGAACCATGATAGAACCGACAATTCCACTGCCTCTTCTCCTGATCTTGGAGAGCATCTTAATCTTCTTATGTTTTGGCCAGAAATACACCAGATTTCTTAGTGGTTTTCTTTTCCCTGCTACTTGGGGTATGCATAAAGACAGAAAGTTATTCATTTTTTTAGTGGAAAGCAGCAAGTCAGATTTACTTTCCTGACCTTCTCCACTGAAAAGTCAATTTACTGTGCTTAGCAGAGCTTATTGCAAGAATGCTAAGGCAGCAAATGCCCTGAGCATGCCAAAATAGACTTTTCTCGTGGACCAGAAGATAGCATTTTTAAATGAAAGCCTAGGAGTTGCTAAACCACGGTGGTTTCTATTTCTAGCTTTTTCCTGAAAATACTTGATCAAAAGTGGAAAGTGGAACACTTCTCAACTCATTCTGTGAGGCCAGTACTACCCAATACCAAATCCAATCAAAGATATCACGAGAAAAGAAAACCACGGACTGACCAGTACATAAAAAGGAATATACACCAAATGGGATTTATCCCATTAATGCAGGGTTAGTTCAACATACAAAAGTCAATTAAAGTAATATGCTATACCAGTAGAATAATGGGCAAAACCCACACGATTATCCCAGTAAATCTAGGAAAGCATTTGGCAGAATTCAACACTGCTTGATGATAAAAGCACTAAAAAAACTAGGGCTCAAAGGCAACTTCCTCAACATGATGTAGGGCGCCTTTGAAAAAACCATGATTTATCATCATACTTAATGTCAAAAGACTGAATACTTTCTCCTTAAGATCAAGAACAAGACAAAGATGTCTGTTCTCACCACTCGTATTTCACATGGTACTGGCACTTCTAGCCAGGGCAGTTAGACAAGAAAGTGAAAATAAAGACATCCAGATTGAAAGGACTTAATAAAAGCTTTATTTACAGATGACATGATCACGTACATATAAAATCCTAAGAAACCGCAATAAAACTGTTAGAACTAATAAACAAGTTCAGTAAGGTTGCAGGAAACATCAGTGCACAAAACTCAGTTGTACAAGTATTTCTATACAGTAGCAATAAACAAACAGATAAGGAATTTTTAAAAATTCAATTTAATCTACAGTAGCATTAAAAAGATTTAAATACTTAGGAGTAAATTTAGCAAAAGAAGTATAACATTTTTACTCAGAAAACTAATAAAACATTGTTGAAAAAATGAAAATAAATAATAAATGGGAAGACATCTCATGTTCATGGATCAGAAGACATAGTATTGCTAATATGGCAGTATTTCCCACATTGGTCTACATATTTAATACACTCCCTATTGAAATCCCAGCTGACATTTTTTGCAAAAGTTGATAAGCTCATCCTAAAATTTATATGAAAATTCAAAGGACCCACAATAGCCACAGCAGTCTTGAAAAGGAAAACCACAGGTAGAGAACTCACTTCCCAGTTCCAAAATAGACTGAAGCTATACCAATCAAGACAGTGTGGGACTGGTATAGGATAGATATTTAAGTCATAGAATTGAATCGAGAATCCAGAAATAGACCCTCACATTTATTGTCAAATGCTTTTTAATATGCGTGCCAAGACAATTAAATGGAGCAAAGAGTAGTCTTTTCAACAGATGGTGCTGGGGAAACTGGATATCCACATGCAAAGAGTGAAGTTGGGCCCCTCACCATACACAAAAATTAAAATGGATCACAGACCTGAATGTAAGAAGTTAAAACTATAAAACGCTTAGAAGAAAACATAGAGGTAACTCTTCATGATCTTGAATTAGACAAGGGTTTCTTAGATAAGCCACCAAAAAGTACAAATAACAAAAGAAAAAATAAGTAAACAAAACAAAACAAAACCAGAAAAACAAAAAAACTGGACATCATCAAAATTAAATACTTTTGTGCTTCAAAGGACATCATTAAGAAAGTGAAAAGCCAGCTCAAAGAATAGAAAATATTTGCTAATCACATATAAATCTGATAATGGCTTATATCTAGAATATTTGAAGAACTCTTACAACTAAATAATAAATAGATAACTCAATTAAGAAGTGGGCAAAAGGTTTGAATAGATATTTCTCCAAAGAAGATATATAAATGCCCAACAAGCATATGAAAACGTGCTCAACATTGTTAGTCATTAGGACTCTGGGGACTTTGGCCTGAGCAGTCTGAAAGATGGAGGTGCCACCAGCAGAGAGAGCACACAGACCTGTGGTCAGTTGGGACTGGTCAAGCTCACGAGGTGTAGTGGACATCTGGGTGGAGAGGTTCAGGGGAGAGGTCTGAGCAAGAGGTAGAAACCGCAGGGTGATTGGCACGTAGGTAGTACTGAGATCTGTGGGGGTGAGTGTGGGTAGAGTGTGGGCAGGGAGGAGGATGTGGTGAAGACTCTGCCCTGGAGTGGGGTGAGGGAAACCACTCAAGGAGAGTGGGAGTGCTGGGACTGCCCCCTCTATTAACTCTGTTGGAGCTGGTCGTTCCTTGGGGGTCTTTACGCCAGCTTGCTCCCAGTTGGTGGTGTTCATGGCTGAGATGTCCACCTCAGGCGCCTCGCACCTCGCTGTGAGGCTCCCTGCACCGCGCAACCGCATGGCCTTTGTGATGGTGGAGTCTTGCCTTTAACACTGTCTGAGGAAGTGGTGGCTGATGTGGCTTACAGGCCTGCTCCTTGCTGTGGCCCAGACCTGGCTGCTGCCACCACTCCTTCCATGCTGAGCACCAGGTGAATGTGCACATATACGCACACCCCAATTGTGACCTTTACTGTGCCACTCTGCCCATTTATTGGGAATCAGCTGACAGGCACAGTGTTGGACAATCCAGGACCTGATCCCCAGTCTTTTCTTCTGTCTGCCCAGGACAGGTGTGGTCACTGTCTCCTGGGAAGGTCCTTCTGTGGGGACAGGGCTCAGGAACCAGCACAACAGTAGGGTCCTCAGAGACAGCAGCGCCACACCTCCCATGAGCATGTCCCACAGAGAAAGCAGGGGGAGAAGTTGGAGCATATGCTTTGTTCCTGGGCTCTTTTCCCACCCTCAGTCCTTTGACCTTGCAGCCCTGCCAGGTGGGTGGTGGTGCCCTGTTTGCCGAAGGCACTAAGCCTTGGCCATTGCTTACAGCAGGGCCCAGTGCTGTTGCTGGTGCAAGCCGAGAGCTGCGCTGTGGGGGTGACATAGTCCATGTGCTCTTCAGTGGTGAGCACTCTGGCTTTCAGGCCAGGCCTTCTCGTCCCTCACAGGGTTGAGCTACAGGTGTGTCCTGGAAGGCTCAGGTGTTTGGGAGCCTTCTGGCATGTATTCCAAAGCCCAGCTGCCTCGCCCACAGTTGTGTTGGCGCCAGCCCTATAAGTGGGGGGCAGGTGGAACCCAACGTTTTGCCTGCTTGGGGTGTCCTGAGCACCTCATGACTGACATCTTTGAGTTAAAACCCAGGGAAATGCATGGTTTCTGTTTCATCTTTTTTTTTTTTTTTCCTTTTTTTGTCTTTTTTCGTGTCCGGCAACGGACCGCAACCCTCAGTGTCACGCCCGTACCGGACCGGGACCGGCAACGGGATCGCAACCCTTGGCACTGCGCCCGCCCCTCGCTCAGCCAGTGAGCGGAAACCGGTCTGTATGTGGGATCCGAACCCTCGGCGGGAGCGCCACTGTGCTTCCCAAGCGGCGCACTGTAGCAGTGCGCCACCGGGCCGGCCCCTGTTTCATCATTTTACTTTTTGATGTCATCTTTTACATTTGAATAAATTTTACACCTTTTACTGTATTCTCAAGTTAATTTTTAAAAACTAATGTGGTTGGTTTTACTTTGTTTCCAAAGTTTCCTTTCTGAGCCCAGCATACACCTTACAGTTTATGGCCTTGAGTGAGTTGCTTCACTTCCCTGAGCTTCAAAACCTCCATCTGTGAAATGAGAATGATAGTAACACCCCCCTCGGGTCGTTTTGAAGATTGTGGGAGGAGCACACTAAGCTCTGGACGCCCTTACAGCCTACAGTGCGAGCACCAGGCGGTTGCGGTGGTTGTCTCTGGGGTTCCGCAATGGTCCCCTTGCCTAGACTCTTACCTATTGTAAAGTACGCTCTTAATACCCTACTGACTCTCCTTTGCCTTAAGTCTGAAAACAAATTTGCGGTGAACAAAATCTTAACTTTTAGTCATACAAAATTAAAAACTTGCTTTAGGAAATGTCTTTTTTTGATAAAGATAATGTGTATTAGGCTTAAAACTTCTTTCCTTTCTTTCCTAGGGATGAATTTAATATTAAAGTTCTTCAGGCTTTTGTCGAACTCCATGAGTTTGCTGATCTCAACCTTGTGCAAGCCTTACGGTAAGCGTTTGGTCATGCCCTGGGCACAGAGCCGCCGGGCAAGGCCAGAGGGCTGGTGCTGAGCAGCAGGGTGTGCAGGTTCACTCCAGGGAGCTGAGAGCCACAGGCGTCTCTGCAGACACTGGCTCTTTGTCCCCAATGATCCTCTGATGCTGTGTGACATTCAGCAGCCCTAGGCAGAAATCAGGCCACGCACGCAGGGCACAGTCACACTTCCCTGGTTGTGATGTGGGTTCTGCATTCCGCTCGTTGTTTGCTTCCTCTCATTTTAAGCAAAGTTTGGCAGTCGCGTGTGTGCTTTTTCCCACTTCTGCCGCATGCTGTGCACGGCGTGGCCTCAGCGCTGCACAGGCCCACTCCTCACCAGCTTTGGCATCAGGTGTTTATGGAGGATATGGCTGTTCCACCATGGGAAGCCCCCTGCTCCCAACTTTTCTGAGGAAAGCCAGGTGTCACTGTGTCACTGGGGTGGACAGAGGCCCTCAGCCACCCTTGTGCAGGCTTATTACAGTGTCCACGGTGTCCTCCCCGGATGCCCTCTCAGCCTGTTCCTCCTGTACCTTCTCTTCTTCCTGCACTGCTGAAAGGAGGTGGTCTCGTCTCCTTCCTTGGGATCCCGCTGGGCCGTGTGGGCTCTTCATCTGGTCTGGGTGTCGATCCTGAGCCATCACCCAGCGGCACCTGGGGTCCAGCTCAGGGAGAGGTGGCAGGGCTTCTGGTGGGAGCCCCCCCAGCCTGTCCTCAGGCTGAGAAGGTCATAGCTACGTTTTGTCTGGTTCTTGTTTACTTGGGCTGTTTTTTCGTGGCCGTGCTTCAGCTGCAGACTGAAATGCCAGCAGTGTTTTTGTCTGACCCTCATGACATTGTGCTCAGCTTCTCAGCCTGGGGCTGAACAACGTGCTGGCAGCAGCAGATATGAACCCTGCAGCTGTAATTCAAGTTTTTCAGACTCAGATTTTGAAAACTGCATGTCCACAGAGAGGCTCAGGCCTGGTGAGTCTGGGAGGAGTGTGTGTGGCATAGTTGTTGCAGCTGTGATTCCATTTCTTTTAGTCAGTCCAGCCCAGAGACAGAGAGGTTCCTAATAAATCCTACAGGTGTCAAGTCCAGCAGGCCCCCGCAGCAGAGCAGGTGAGGGCAGAGAGCCGGCTGCCTCAGCTTTGCTCCGCTAGATCCTCGGGCCCTGCCTGTTCCACAGCTCCTTTTTCATCATCTGCCACCTGGCCTGTCTCATTACCCCAGAACATGCTGCCTGTGTTGGGGGTTCTCTCTGGCATGCCAAGGCCCAGAGTGACAGCAGCTTCACACCTTCACCTGCTCATCTGCACACCTGCTCCGTGCTGGGAGCTGAGCTGGGCTCAGGGGCTATAGAGAAAAATGAGGCAGGAGGAGGGATGGGCCTGGGTTAGCCTGGGGGGCTCCATTCACACACCTTTGGAGAAGCCAAGCTGGCAAGGAGCACAGGCATCTGCCAGGCCAAGAGAGCAGCCCCGACCACGGCCCTGGGGCATGATGGGGTGCTGGGCCGTGGGGTGGGCAGGAAGGGCTCGCACATGCTCAGAAGCATGAGGACAGTGGGAGCCGCTGGAGAGTGTAAGCAGGGGTGGTGTGTGGTTCAAGAGAAGTCTGGGACTCAGTGATAGCTCGGGAGAGTGTGGGGTGGCATCTGCAATTCCTGCAGGATGGGGCTCAGGCAGGTAAAGCCTAGAGACTCTGTTCACCCCAGAGAACCTCGCTTCCTATTCATCACCTGGCGCTGGAGGGCCACCTGTGGGCCTGGCGCTGATCTCGGCCACACAGAGCTCACGCTGTAGTGCAGAGAGGACAAGTAACAGGTATGTCTGAAACCTAAGTTACGCAGGTTGTCAGAAGGAGCTGGTTGCTATGGAATCAAAAAGTTCGGCTGGGTAAGGGGATCTTTGGGCTGGGTCAGGGCTGATGAGGGGCACTTAGACAGGATGGAAGAAAAAGAGCCAAGCGAGTGACAGCAGTGAGCAACGGCACAGAGGAGTGGGCAGGGACGCGATGGGTCCTCCAGTCTCAGGAACTGTCCTAAGGATTTGGCTTTTATTCTGAGGGTTTCACTCAGAGATGCCTGTGAGGGACAGGGGGCTCACAGGCAGACTTCAGGCCCACCTGCCTGCTGTGCGAGGGGCAGGGGGCCACGCCGTGGGGCAGCAGGCGGTTGGGTGCTTCTAGGTGACTGGCCTGTGAGCCAAGGACGGGGTGGCCGTGTTGAGTCTGAAGCTGGTCCTGGCTATGAGGGGCTTGAATGTGGCTGGAATCCACACAAAGAGAGGGTTCAGGGAGCCCTCACGTTTAAGGGATGTGCAGAAGAGGAGGGGCCTCGCTGGGGGCAAGAGCGCATCTGCCCCTATCTGACTGCTGGTGAAACTGAGGACAGTCCAGGAACTTAATCAGAGCCCTTAGTTCTAACCTCAGCCCCATTCCTTGTTCTGAAGCTGCAGCAGCAGCAGCAGCAGGCTGTGGTCACAGGCAGGGAGTGAGATAGGCTGCAGCCCTGGCCGTGGGGGTCACAGCCACTTTCAGACAGGGGATGAATAAGGCGGACAGGTAGCAGGTGGTGGGTGCCGTGCAACCAAGGAAAGCAAAGGAGGAGCAGTAGTGTTGGGAGAGGGGGGCTTGCGATTTTAGGTAAGGTGGCCGGGGAGACCTCAGCGAGAGGGGGATATCTGAGGATGGGGCAGTTGCTTGTTGGGCCATGTCCCCAAGGCAGGAGTGTGTCTGCTAGTATGGCAGCAGCAGATTTCGGTTGTGACACCGGCAGTGGAGAGGGGGCCTTGGAAGCTGTCCTGCTGATTCTGGCTTTGCCCAGGGGTGTGAGAGTATTGGGAGGAGTGGTCCCATCTACAGGGCCATGGGGCCATGGCAGGGCTGGGGTGATCGCCTGGTGGGTGTGGGAGAAGTGCTGGGTCCTGGATGTTTTTAAGGCAGAGGCAACAGGCCTCACTGCCAGATAGGTTGTGTCACAGAAAAGGCAAGCAGTCAGTAAACGTGTCTTGAATTATCAAATGGAAGGAAACTGTCTTGGGTCTCTCCTTCCTGGCTCTGTGCCCTTCCATGTCCCTGCCAGAGTTGCACCCAGGCCAGGAAGAAAACATGCTTCCTGGGGCTGGGCAGAAGCTGTTCTTTGGGCTGTGAGGCTGGGTCTGTTCTCATGCAAGGTCATTCCATGAGCTTTTGTTTCTCTGCAGGCAGTTCTTGTGGAGCTTCAGACTTCCAGGGGAGGCTCAGAAAATTGATCGCATGATGGAGGCTTTTGCTTCACGCTACTGCCTGTGCAACCCTGGGGTTTTCCAGTCCACAGGTCAGTGGCAGGGCTTGTGGCCCTGGCCCCTCATCAGTCAAAGCCAATGGCTCAGGGGGTGGGAGGGCTAGGCAAAGTACAGGCATGTGTTCCTAGGGACCTACCTGCCTTCTCTGAGCCACGACAGCACCACCTTTGGCCACTAGCCAGACCTGATACTGCATGGGGGGCTGCTGCTCAGAGGACAGGCCTGCAGGCCCAGGTGCCTCTTGCCCAGTGTCCTCAGTGGGGTGTGCCCCCAACATGCATGGGTTTCCTGTGGGAGCCACATTCCACATGTAGAATTCTAAGCCCTCCTGCCATCCTCGGACTGTTGCAGACACATGCTACGTGCTGTCATTTGCGATCATCATGCTCAACACCAGCCTACACAACCACAATGTGCGTGACAAGCCCACAGCAGAGCGGTTCATAAGCATGAACCGCGGCATCAACGAGGGAGGGGACCTCCCTGAGGAGCTGCTGAGGAATTTATATGAAAGTATTAAGAATGAACTATTTAAAATCCCAGAGGACGATGGGAATAACCTGACACACACGTTCTTCAACCCTGACCGGGAAGGCTGGCTCCTGAAGCTGGGAGGGCGTGTGAAGACCTGGAAGCGGCGGTGGTTCATCCTGATAGACAACTGCCTCTACTACTTTGAATACACGACAGATAAAGAGCCCAGAGGGTTCATCCCGCTGGAAAACCTCAGCATACGGGAGGTGGAAGACCCGCGGAAACCTAACTGTTTTGAGCTCTATAACCCAAGCCACAAAGGGCAGGTCATCAAAGCCTGTAAAATAGAAGCCGACGGCAGAGTGGTGGAGGGGAACCACGTGGTGTACCGGATCTCGGCCCCCAGCCCCGAGGAGAAGGAGCAGTGGATGAAATCCATCAAAGCAAGTATCAGTAGGGATCCTTTCTATGACATGTTGGCAACGAGGAAAAGAAGGATTGCTAATAAGAAATAGAGCTTTCCTGCTTGAACAGGTAAAGGACAAGACCCAAACCCCACAGCAGAAAGTGACTGGAGGCCGCAGCTAGGAGGTGGGTCCTGGTGGTGCTCACAGCTTCTCCAGAGCGACCATCCGTGGCCCGAACTGCTGTTTACCTTGCAGCCTTGGGCTGGGGTCTGCGACTGTCCTGGAGCTCACGGTGGGAGAAGTCAAAACCTGCGCGCGCCCGGTTTCATCAGTGGCAGCGCCT